AGGCCGAACTGGGTGGCCAGGCGCGGCGTAAGGCGGTGGTCGCGCAGCGAGAGGTAGTGGCAGGCAATGGACGGATGCTCCTGCAGGCGCCGTTGCACGGCCTTGAGCAGGCTGCTTTTGCCGAGCTGGCGCCCTCCCACGACCAGGTAGTTGGCCGGTTCGCGGTGAGTATGCGCGCCAGCAGGCGCTCGCGGCCGAAGAACACGTCCCTCGCGCGTCACGCCGCCGCGCGTCTGGTAGGGCGAGATGCGCGTGACCTGCAGCTGCGCGGCCAGCAGCCGCAGCAGCACCTGCGCGGGCTCGCCGCCCATCAGCCATTCGGTCTGACCGGGGCTGTCCAGCACTGCGTGCAGATTGGCGCGGTCCTCGGCATGGCGCTGCAGCAGCGGCATGGGCGACTGGGGATGCTGGGGGCTCACGATGAGCACCACGTCGCCGCCGGTCTGCAGCAGGCGCAGCTGGCGCACGAGTTCGCCCTCTTCCAGTTCTTCCAGCTGCTCTGGCAGCGCATAGACCAGGCAGCGGCCCAGGGCGATGGGCAGGTCCGGCGGCAGCGTCCATTCGAACATGCCACCGGGCACGGGCCATTCGCCCTCGGCGGTTTTGCAGGTGGCCGACAGTCGTTCGGCCAGGGCGCGCACGCGGGCGGCGGGGCTGGCGCTGGCAAGGCGCAGGGCACGCTGCCAGTCGGGCGGGCGTATGCCTGCGGCGCGCAGCACGGCGGACCGCCGGCCGGTGAGCCGCAGCAGCCGGTCCAGCTGGGGAAGATGCTGGTACGGCTTGCGGCGCAGGCGCCCGGGCTTGAGCTGCGCCGGGCCTATCAGCGGATGGCGGACCAGCCACAGCAGGGCCAGGCCGCCAAAGACCAGGGCGCAGGTCCAGATGATGTTGCGCAGCCAGCCAAAGGGTTCGTGCTCTGGCTGGCCTGGCGAGGGGCTGCAGTTCAGCGGCAGATAGCGTGGCGGGGTGGGTGGCTGGCCGCCCTGGCAGCTCCAGTCCTGGCTGGGCATGTTCAGCTGCAGCAGGACCTGGGTTCCTGAGAGCACGCCCATCTGGCTGTCGCGCACGATGTCCGCCTGCAGCACGAAGGGCCTGGGCGAACTCATGCGCACGCGGGGCTCGGCAATCTCCGGTGCCACGCTGGCGATGTCCTGCGGCCAGCTTTCATGCTGGCGCACATGCTCCATCAGGGCCAGGCGCCACAGGATGATTTCGTTCCAGACCCGCCCTGAACTTTCCGCGCCCTGCAGACTGCCGCGGGTAACGGGGTTGTAGCGGGGCAAAAGTATGGCGGTGCCT